TAATATTTTTGAATGTAAAATTTGGAGGTGCTGATAAAAGAACAGTAGGATGGCAGTTTCTGTCCAATTTCTGTCCTGGTTCTTGAAAGACTATTAAAATAGAGTAATTCAAAGGATACTGTGGCACCGAGTGTCATAGCAGGATTTACAAACAGGGAAGAAACTGGATTCCTACCTCTATGGCTCGGCTCCCCAGATGGAGACAGGATGGAATTCCTCATTTTCAATCAGATGGTATTTCTATATAGGAAGAATTACAAGTGTGTCATTAGCTTTTCCCTGCAGTACAGACAGAACCACTGAGGGGAAGTGAGAAAATATTAGAAATACAATGTGGCAAAACTAGACCTTGTACACTTTCCAACAAGACACTTATCTGGCACCCTGCAAAGTTACTAAACTCCTTAGGGGTAGTGCCTAGGTCAGCATGTCTCTGTTTTGCTGGGAGCTGCAGAGATAGTAAGAGTTTTCTAGGGAATAGTTTGAAATTATTTGATGCTTCTTGTTTGTTTTCCAGTAGTCAACCCAAGAATGAACTTTTTTTTTAAAAAAAAAGAATAATTAGGTTCATGAGTCGCATTTTGGTTGTGACACGTGTGCTGCAGTTTCCTAGATCGCACACTGTCCTCCCATGTGATGCTCTGTAGAAAGCACAATGCAAGTATTCATCATAATCAATGAACATACAAAATTATTGAAGTGTGGATGCTGTGAATAGTTGTTTGAAATACATAAAATAGAATGCCAGCATGTCAGCTCAATAGTGCTGTTTTCATCACTTAGATACCTAACACACTTTTCATAATATAACTGTTTAAACATGAATGTTTTGTAAACATTTGGTTTAGGAATCTGTTGGATCAATCTTGGTGGCTCTGTTTGATTTCCTACACCGAATGGCATCACCCTATAAAGGAAGAATGGTAGTTGAGTAGATGAGGTATAGAGTGACAACTTGCAAAACTACTCTTTTTTTCTTTTTTTTTTTTTTTTTTTGAAGCGGGTTGTATAGATGAGTTTCTTCTATAGCAACCATCCTGTGGTAGCACACCATGAAACTATTGTAAACACTTTATAAACAGTGAGTAAAATCAAATCCAGCTTGCTGTAGACTAAATGTTTGATCAGGTCTCTCCCTCTGGGTGTGCTGTGGTTTTTGTTTGGTTCATTCTATAACTAAAGAATATGCCAAAACCAACTTGATTCTGATCAAATTAGAACATGTTCCTTTGATTTTGGAAGCAAATGTAACAAGTTTCTGTTGATGCAGTTTAGTCAGAAAACCCATTGGTTAATATACACTCTGTAGTCCGTTTTTTGGCTGAATTTCAGCTATAAAAAATATGCTTCTATTAAAAAAACCCTCTGCTTACAAATAAGAATCAATTGACAGATGTGGTCCTTTGATAATATTCAGGTGTTTGCATGTTCTAACCAGATAGTGATTTGTAAGTATATTGTGTCTTCCTTAATAATGCCATCCTTCCAAGCTCAGCATGTGAAATGTAAACTGTAACAGTAGCACCTTTAGGTTTAATATGGCTCCTGACTGTAAGTTCCAAGTTTGTTTGGTACATTTATAACCTGTACAGTACCTTTGATTAGTCAAAGCTCCTGGTTTTGGGGGTGGGGTTTTTTCTTCCTTCCCCGAAAACCGAGCAACATTTGAGAGCACCGTTTCTCTGCTATACTTTGAAATCTGTGCTTTAGTCTTATCTGAGTAAGCTGCCCTTACCTTTTTTGCAAAAGATGCCCACAGGGCAGATAATGCCTTGAGGTAGTGCAGTAATGTAAGAAGGGAGATGTTTCAATATGCATACTTGCATGGAATATTGGAGGAATTGTCAAGGATACATTTTATGTATTTCTGTATTTCTGGTACTTGTATGTAAGTTGTGAAGACCTACCTCCTCCCCATCCTCACACCCACCCTCCCCCCAACACTTTTGGGCTCTGGTTGCTTATTATTATGTACTGGGTTTTTTTACTAGGCAATAAGAAATCTAACCAGAGACTGAGCATCTGAAGCTATGTCCATTAGTTCCCACATTTTTCTTAATTTGAAGTAAGTTTGGTCTGAAGAGCATTAAGTTAAATTGGCAGGTATGGAATAGCCTCATAAAATACGTAGAGCAGGTGACTAAAATTTAAACCTGTCTCTATGACAAACATATTGTTCACTTTCTCACAGGGATTTTTAATCTTTAGCAAAAAGGTTGCCTTTGGCTACCCTCTTTGCATATGCTTGAGGTGTAGTGTTGTCATTATTGCTGATTACATGTTTAGAAAACATTTTTATTAGCAAAACAACTGAGATCTCTTTCACTTGTCACTAAAACAATATAAGCAAAAAATACTTTCTACTGGAAAAAGCAAAGAAATGAGTTGTTACTGAAGATACTAAAAAAAAAAACCCAACCAAAAAACAAACAACCCCAACCTAGAAATCGGTCCATTTAACTTTCTTGCTGAAATGCATGTGCAGTTTTTTGGCATAGATTCTGTTCCTAATTTAGTACATTGAGCATGTTTCAGAAATAGGTCGTCTGTTAAATTCGGACATGGTCCATACTGAGAATTAAGACCGAGAGAAAAGGAAGGTCATTGTCGAGTCTTTCTCTTTTTCCTGATCCCTGGGTGTGTATTGTAGGAAAAAAGAATCACTGTGGTGCATGTGGCAAGAAACATAGTGAAAATCAAATGCCATCTTTGTTCTATAAATATCCTTAGAATAATTTTAAGATACAAAAACCAAAACACATGAGAGTTAGTGTTTGTAAGGCTACTCCACAGCTGAGCATTCCTTCCAGTTCTTACATCACTTTTATGTTTGATATATCTTTCCAGAAAATGATCCCTTTTGTTTACAGTCTCTGTCTTGCATTCATAGCTACGTTTCTTAGGCCTGTTCCAGCATGCTGTTGTTTCCTTTCTTTATAACTAGATCTACCTAGGATCACTTAAAAAAAAAAAAATAAATTCTAAGGTTTGTTTCTGGGTGTTGTGTCATTGGAAAGTCCTTTTCATCATGTGGAAGACGTGTGTAAATATAATTGTGGATTTAGTGCTGAGTGTAGTCTAGCAGCCTAAGAAAGAAGAGATAGTAAAGTTATTTGAACTGTGTTTTTATAGATGCTTTTGTTGAGAGAAAATTAAGTTTCTTGTTTACTCAATCTGTTTATTTACTGAGGAGTTATAAATAGTCTGTTGTGTTTAATTGGGTTAACTTCTAAATGCTATATACAGAGATATAGAAAGGAAAATGCTCAAAGGTCCATTCATTGTATTTTATTTTCCAAATTTTAAAACAATTGCACATTGCTAAATTAACATTAGTCTTTAAATCTGGGCATTCAATCTTTGGTAATTTACGAAAATGGGCAATTTATTGAAATTGGCTCTTAAATTCAACTCTGAAAAAAGGTATTTGAATGTAGTCCTACAACAGCAATATACTCTGAAAATGATCAGAATTAGGACTGATGTGTATTTAATAAGTATTTTAAGAGAAAATAAACTAAATCTTTTAGTTAGACCAGTCTATGAAACTGAGTAGACCTCAAATTGGCCAATGCTCCTGATTAATTTTGATATCATGGGCTTACTTGTTCATTTGCTGAAGCCATTCTTTGGCATCATAAAATAATAGCCATTTGTCTTCAAAATAGTACTTCTTTTAGGGATACTTGCAAGATCAGGATAAGCCTCAAGAAGCTTAGAGACAACACATAAACTGCCCTTATTACAAAGTATTGCATTTGCTTGTATTTCTTTCCAAATTTGAAAGTTGCTTATTTGAGGATCTTTTTTTGGTCTCATTGGTCTCTCTGTATGATCTGTAAGATAAAGATGGTTACAGGCAATTACATAAGATACCATACGTTTTTATTTTTAAATAAGGTTAGGTGATATGTGCAAGTTATGCAGAAAATCTTACACTGTGTAAACAACTGGCTTATATATTTGTTTTTTACTTTTCAGCTGTACTTTCAGGTTTCCCAGCACAAACATCAAGATAACATTCACAGCTCTGTCCAATGAAAAGAGAGAAAAACAGGAGGCCCCGGAGTCCCCAGTGAAGCCTGTGCAACCCCAGATCTCTCCCTTAACAATAAACATTCCAGACAACATGGCTCACCTGATCAGCCCTCTCCCTTCTCCCACAGGAACTATCAGGTATTTAAACCCTGCAGATTGGCTATAGGGCAATGAATGGTTACAGACCTCAGACAACTTTCTAATGTATTTCAAGTATTTTGCTTTTGTGGTAAAAGTTTAGTTGCAGCTCAGCATTACCTGCCTTGGAGAAAACCACCATTCTGCTAACTAATCCGATGGTTGCATGAACAGCCTTTAATATTCAAATTTGAAATGTTAAACATGTAACAGTTTGCTCAGGAGCCACGCATTCTTAACACAGCAAAACAGCAGATCTTTTTATTGCATTCTAGATGATTTAGGTTGCTTTTTACTCTTGCATGCTTATAGAAACACTTTAAATAAGATAAGCCTAAATTATACCATTTTAAAACATTCTGATAGTCAGTGTCTCCCTGAAGTTTATCATCAGAAAAAACGTTTTTTTGGTTATATGGAAAACAGACTGGTATCTTACTCCAGAAGATTTGTTATTGATTATTCTTTGCTGGAAGTAAACAGATGTTTTACTTAAAATACAATGTAAGATGCGCAGTTTGGTATAGGGAAGTCTTCTGCAGGGGACAGTAATTGGGTTTTTTACTTGCAGTGCTGCCTAATTTGGTAATTGTAGCCATCGTCCAACTTCTTATTTGGGACCAAACTCAATTAAACTTAAGTGAGCTGTCCTCACAAACTGGTACAAGTAATTTAGGTACAATTTTTAAAATTCATAGAAAGTTCAGGAGGAAAAATTTTATTTAAAGGCACTGAAAGTTGTGTTTCAAAGTTACATACGTGCTTTTGAAAGTTTTTTTTTTTTCTTCCCCTCGCACTTCTTGTATCTTCACTTGAGCAAAGGACTGTTAATGCTTGATTTTTAAAAATGCAGATCTTGTTAATGAAATTTGAATGTAAGGATAATTGACTTCTTTCATGCTTGCCAAGATCTTGATCTCAATATTGTAGTGTTCAATGAGATCTATAGAAATGGTGGAAGCAGAGAGAAAAGAGATCTAGACTTGACTGTATAACAGGTTTGCTTTCTTATTAAAATTCAGGGAAAACATATCTTGCCCAAGAAATGACAGAACAGCTCATAAATATTTCAGATAATATCACATATATCACCATAGTCTTTGCCTCACTATGAATTTTGTAATTCTCTTCAGGGCTTTCATGCACCTGTGGAGTATAGTTATTTTTTAAAAAAAAAAAAAAAAAAAAAAAAACGACAGTTTTGAGTCTATTTTGAGAGCAAAGCTTGACAGTTTCTCTTCAAATCATCCTGTTTTGTAGAAGACTTGTAAACTTGCTTTGATTATACCATATGTGTCGCTTTGTCAATATATGCTAAAGCGAGCACAGTAGAGGGATGTTGTCAGTTGATATGTGAAAACATAGAACAGCAGTGACCTATATTTAAAAAAATAAATTGGTTACATGTTTTGGCTCTAATCAAGGATTCTTCCATGCAACACTTAAAAAATCCAGTCTCCCTTCTATAGTATATCTCTAGTAGCAAATTGTTGGTGGCTTTCTTGTGATGTGAAACTTGAAGAATGTTTTTTATGTGTGTGTGTATATATATATTTTGCCCAATCTACAGTGCCTGCCTTGTTTCTGTACATAAAAAGGGAGGTAGCAAAAAACTTGAGAGGCCAGACAGACAAACAAAACTTGACAGATGTAAATTTGTTAAAGCATTATTGTATACATCTGAATAACATTCTCTAGCTTTATTTGTTACTTGGATGATTTGAACCATAGATCAAGTTAGGTTAAAGATTATCTTTGGAGATGAGGCTGGCTCTGGGGGCACAGCATGCTTTGCCATTCTGATTTTTAGTTAACCTTTTTTTGAATTTTTAAGGACTGTGGTGAAGTCCCTTACAGTATGAATTGCTGAGCAGTATGCGTCCTTGTAGAGAATTACCAAAATTTTTTTAGGGGGAAGGGGCCAGGCATCACCCGCTGACTGGCTCTTTCCTGTTGGCTAAATGGAAACTGTAGAAGAAAACCGGCTTTGTGCAGCTGTGGTTCCTGTGGACTGTGCAAGGCAAGGGGGATAACCGTTAGAAAGATGTTACAGTGAAATTATATGTAATTTTATCTTTGTTTTTCTGTGATGGATAGCAAAATGTGTATATATCAAGAGCCAAGATACCAAGAGCCACTTCTTTCATTTGTTTGGCACTATCTTTTGCTTTGTAGCAGTGGATCTGCTCTGTTGGCCTAATAATGCGTTCAATTAGATGCGTCTGTGCTGATGCATCCCATTTATAGTTAAGTTCATTATTTTTGTGCACATATATATGTGTGTGTATGTGTACGTACCTGTAAACACATAAAATAATGTTGGTTTAGATTTAAATGAGACTCAAAAGTTGTTTTTTCCTCACTGCTCGCTGTATTTTCTCGAATGTGCAAAAATACTGTACAGGAGAGATGATCTTTTTTGAGCAGACTGAATACGAGCATATGGCAGAAATTTCATGCAAGATGTGTTTCTTGTTTCAAATGAGTATCTTAAAAATTTGTGGTTTCTTGTATAGTTTAAGTGGACTTTTCTGTTGGCGAATCTTACACAAATACAATGCAAGCTAATAAATCAGTTAATCCTTTTTCCTTTGAGGAGGAAAGCCTGCCCTTCGTTTGACAGGTTTCTTCCTGCAGTGATTTTAATTCCCGTGGATGAGTTAGAAAGGCTTGGAAGATGGGGTTTATAATGGAAATACTGACAGACCCTTAACTGTAGTCTAGAAGCTCTGGTAGTGGGCTTTTCTGCTAGAAGAGCTTTTTGATTAGACATAATGTGGTGATATACTGTATAACAAAATAGTAGGATCTTCTTTTTATGCTCTACAGTGCTGCAAATTCCTGCCCATCTAGCCCCCGTGGTGCAGGTTCTTCAGGGTACAAAATGAGTCGTGTAATACCATCTGACCTACATTTAATGGCTGACAATTCACAGTCAGAAAATGACAAGGAAGCATCGGGTGGAGATAGCCCAAAGGTAAACAGTGTTTGAAATCAAACCCATAAATTACATTGTAAGTGAATGTAAGACTTCTGAAATGTTGTTTGCCAAAGTATATGTGCTAAGTCATAATTTAACATATTTAAAAAACAATTTGTAGGTTTTTGTGATTAGACGTGAGATGTATTTTGACCTCTCCTTTGGGGGAGGGGTCTGTATGTATGTTCAATCATATATCTGTTTATAGGCTATTGAAAATTCTTTACTGTTATGTGTTTCTCCAAAATTTTAATGTTATCTTAAAGTCTGCTAATCAGAAGAGCAAATTTGTCTTAGTTTCTTTTCTGCCTTAAGATTTTGGTCATCCAAAAGTGCCTTAAATCAAGTTAATTGCATTTTGCAATTTTTAATTTAGAAAGGGGCATGTGTATCTTTAAAGTTTATTGATGCAGACTTTTCTTTTTCTTGTACAGGACGACTCTAAGCCACCTTACTCCTATGCACAGTTAATAGTACAAGCAATTACAATGGCACCTGATAAGCAGCTTACACTAAATGGAATTTATACGCACATAACTAAAAATTATCCATACTACAGGACAGCAGACAAGGGCTGGCAGGTAAATTTGATTTCTGGAATGTTTTTTTTCAGTTGTGAGTAATACTGGCAGCTATAAATGGTCATAAGAAGTCAATTGGTGAGCCTAACAGCCCTTCATAAATAGAATTTTTCAAATGAGCGTGTTCGTCTTTTTCCTGATTGTAAGTTCTTCATCAAAGTAGGCAATTTACATTATTCTGTATTTGAAACAGTGCTTTATTCGTGGAATGGTATTCTCTAAATCTGTAGGAGGGATACATACAGACTTTTAGGGAAGAAAAGTATGATTGGCACTGTGGATTTGAATATACGTATGCTATCTAGGAATGTAGTTGTGTTCTGTACCTTACAGTTGTGTAAACATCCGTATTGTTATCTTGAGATAAAATTAAGATATTAAATGTTACAAGTTCGATTTTATTTGAAAACAGTGATCTTGACCATGCAATACAGTGAAGGACAAGTGTGTGTTAATCTGTCATTATCTTGCACTATTATGCGCCCTCTTTTTATTTGTGCAACATAGTCTATTTGTGAACTTAATCATTTCTGTACCGAGTTAGACCAAACCCTTCAATTCTGTAGACTTAATTTCTGCTTTCTTTTCATTTTTAAAGAGACCAGCCTCAGCATTTGCCAGGATGACTAACAGTGTATGAATCAGTCTGGCATAGTCTTTCCAGATACGCATAAAGGTTCAATGCCTTTGCTGCTGTTTTTAGTTTCAGCAAAGGACAGAAGAGCACCATTAGGACTGGCCAGTTTGCCCATGTAACATTCAGACTGCACTGTCGATCGTGCAGTATCAGTTTCACTGTGTTGCTGCTTAGTACAGTCATGATCTGCAGCAGAGGCATGCTCTGAAGTTATTTTCAGGGAAGTAAAATTTGGAGAGACTGGGGGAGGGGAAAAGTGAGGAAACGCTACTCGCTGTACAAGTAGAAGACTAAAGAATACATGCCTTCGCAGTAGAGGAATAAATTTTTAAGTACTAATCACATACTTATTTGTCATAGGGCCTATATGAAAGTTCAGTCACTCTTGGAGGAATTCCAAGGTTACTGAGGAGTTTAACTATTCCTAGATTTTGGCTAGTGAAGGACTTAGCTGCTGTTGTGGCTGGGAAGTCTCTAAGAATTTTGTTTCCCTTTCACACATAAGCAATGCAGAATCCTGGCTGCAGTCATACTAACAGATCTGTTTGAGCAACAAAATTCTGTTTAGAAATTGTTGGTGTGCTTTTTTGCTTCCTATTCTGAAATACCTTGAATATCTGTGTGCGTAATGCTTCTTTATGTAAGCATCGTGGAATCAAACGTGCATACATTGTAGTGCATGGTTAAAGAATTCTGCCTTAGAACAGTGTATGTGTTTAGATGTATAATACTTCACAAACCCAAGGTGATAGACACAGCAGACATAGTGTGTTCTGGAATAATTAGTTAGCACCTATTCATAAAAACAACTGGAAAAGCTGAAAATTAGATGCTGTTCAGTCAGTAGTTGTATAAAGCACTGCTATAACACTAACAGCTGTACCTCGTATGAACAGCTCTGTTAGCTTTTAGGTTGCAGTTACTGTGACTTACATGATAGATGCTTTAAATTTGAGGCTACATATGCACGTATTATTCAAAAGAGAGTACATAGATGGGTATACTATCCAAATCCTGTACCTTAATAAGTAGTATTGAGGTATTTATATCCTTTATTATGTAAAGGTCTCATTTTGTTGAGGACTTAAAGATTCCTCTTCATGAACTTATTTTAGCAGGTACTTTTGGATTTACTCTTTTATTCTAGCATATGGAGAAATAAATACATTTCATAAACATGTTCTTGGCATCTTTTAGTTCTGTTTCAATTTTTGGCAGGGAAAACCATTTCTGGTTTTGTCAGTTTGCATTTAAGAAACCATACATGGTTATAATTGCTTTAAGTTTTCCAAACTTGCCATCAGGGTCATGAACTCAGACGTCTGAGCAGGATTTGCATTTGATTTTGCAAATTTTTGAAGAGCTTTTGTTAACGTAAAGCTTTTTCTCCATTTTTCCTGTTTCCCCACAAGTATTTCAGTATATATGCTTATCTTCATTTCCTTCTTGTTCAGTCATAATATTTTAGAGGGATTTGGGGTTTATATACCTTTAAAAAAAAAAAAGTGTGCAAAGCCAAGCATAGATACAGCCACTTCAGGGTGTTAGCAGTTTTCTACATCTCTCTGATTGAAGAGTTGTGTGTGTTACAGCAAAGTGAGGGATAGAGGAATGTGCAAACTGGAGTGCAGTAACGAAGAGCTCGCTGAAGAGCTGTTTTAGGACCTACTGCCATTTGTTGTTTTGCTAGACACACTAAATCCTTGGCTCCTTTGTCGAGATAGACTGGACTGTGGGTGAACTCCCAACAATCTACATTTGGAACTTGTGTAATTTAACTTTTTCTTTCCGTATTGTGGAACAGTAACAGGATTACCATATAAGATCAGAATCAGTATATGCTGTATTTTACTGGCCCTCCCAGAATGAACTGACATTTTCTTTGACACCTGGGGAAGGGTGGTATATGAAGACTGATAATTTTTCTTTTTAGTGGTGTTTTTTTTTTTTTTTTCCACACTGCATTATACTCAAGTGTTTGTAGTGTTCTAACAGTTTGTTGCCATCACCGTGTTTTTCATTAGAGAATTAAATGGGATTCCTGTTACTGCCGCATTAGCATACTGTTTTTTTAATTGTTGGGAAAGATTTGAAAAATGCAAGAGTCCTTTCAGGTTTATGGCACTGCCTTTGTAGTGCTCTGAGTTCTGTTGAATTAAGGAATTAAAGAGCTGAACCCCGAGTCTCCTATAGTACGAACTGCTGCAGTAGGCCACATTCTGACTTGGAAAAGTTATATGAATTCTACATATTTTTTTATGTTCCATAGAATTCAATACGTCACAATCTCTCTCTGAATCGTTATTTCATCAAAGTACCACGTTCCCAGGAAGAACCAGGCAAAGGCTCATTCTGGAGGATAGACCCTGCCTCTGAAAGCAAATTAATAGAGCAGGCTTTTAGGAAAAGGCGGCCTAGGGGAGTACCTTGCTTTAGAACCCCTCTGGGACCACTCTCTTCTAGGTAAGGAAAAACAGATGAACAAAAAGACTATGGCTGTTGTTTAATCTTCAGGCTGATACGGACTTGGTAGTTTTGGATACAGTCACGAGTTTAGTAATTTAATTTCATCCAGACTCAGTATTTGAATTCTGTATCATTTACTAGGAGGCTGCCCCATATACTAGGCTTGTTTTTATTGCTTGTTATAGTGTTAAAGAACTGACTCAGTTTGCATAACTATCAGATTGTTAATGTAAGCAAGCCTTGCTGTACCTTTGGTGTGGGTTGTTTTGGTTTTGTTTTTTTTTTTTTTTACAGAATTACAATTTTCATTTCTAACTGCCATCTACTGCATTTTAATACTGTTTGCAAAGAAAATTATCAAATACCGGCTACCGTTTTATTGAATTTAGGAATGATAATTATGTATTCAGTTTGATAATGTCCAAGCAGAATTCATGATGGGGGAATACACAGGTTTAAATTATTCCCTCTGTAAAGTTATAGCCTTTCTGCTGGTGCAGATCTTTTATTACTTGCCCTGTAGACTGACATTTGCTCATCATTCTTCTCCACCAGAAGAAATGTTCATGTTTCACAGATTGTTTAGAGAGTCTCCCTAAGAAGGCATCCAGCCACTTCTTCGCCATTAACTATACCTGAGGTTTGCTTTTAAATTCTGTCCCCGTTTAAAAGAAGTTTTATAAAAGATGATCAGAACTGCTTTGGGTTGTAACTGTACTTGCCAGAAGGCAGAGGTGCCCTCCTGTGGGCAGTGTGCGTTACGGTCTCTTTAGAGGAAGGTCACTGTCTTTCACAGTTCAGAAGTTAAAACACATCAGCTGCTGCTTTCGTTTTTAAATACAGAAGTGCCCCAGCTTCTCCTAATCACTCTGGAGTGTTGTCTGCGCACTCCAGTGGAGTCCAGACCCCCGAGAGTCTGTCCAGGGAAGGATCTCCAGTCCCAATGGAACCTGAGCCTAGTGCTATCCAGCCAAAACTAGCGGTAATACAAGAAGCGCGATTTGCACAGAGTGCCCCAGGTGAGGAATCCTGAAATAAACGTTTGGGGGTTGGAGGTGGGAGAGGGCTAATATGTAAGTATTACCAAGACTTCATATGTACACCAGAAACCCCAGTAAATATTTAACCTCTTCACATTTAGAGCAAGTCTTTGATAAACATGTAAAATATGCCAGGTAAATTCTGTTGCATACATACAGACTGACTGTTATCTGTGTGCTGCTCTAGCACCCTTGATCGCTTTGTTGCTAAGCAGAGATTGTGCTTCTGTCCTGCATAGGACTGTACTGTCTTGTAACAGTTGTCACTGCCTTTCAAAACTTATCTTTCTGGCTTAGGAAAAAACCCCAAAACTTCAGGTTGCATGGGTTACAGAAATAAGCAAGTGTCTTGCATGTGTCTGTGGTCATGTCATCCTTTCAAAGGTGGGGATAAAAAGAATTGAAAGGATTAAAGAGAGAAAGAATTAATTTTGTGTGATAAGAATTTTCCTGTTAAAAAAAAAAAAGCAAGCACGTAAGGCATGATGGGATAAAGATGTATTTGTTTAATTACCTTAGCTCATATACTTTTGCTATCCATTTTCTTGGTGATACTCTGTGACTACAGAAGTGCTGGTGACCGTTCTGTGGCAAAGGCAAACATGGTCCTAGGCAGAGGCACCAGGCTTTCCCAAGGAAGCTGAGAGTTTTGCCAAGGCAGATGTGCTCCACACACCACCTGAAGCACATACATGTTCCTGTCTATGGAAGGGAGTTTTACTAAATGGGTACTAAACAGCTTTGGCAGCATAGCTGCATTTGGGAGGAGGTGGGGGGGGGCTTTTGCCCAAATGGTGTGTGGGTCTTCCCGAATACAGCACTTACCTTGAATGTGTGGCTTGGAACAGCCATGTGTCATAATATTCATTGTCCGTTATTATCTTTTGGATCATTTACACATTAGCGAAGGAGGTCGTTAATCCTCTGAGGCTTTAGTGTTAAGTTTAAAAGAATGGCTTAAAAGAAATAATTAAACTTGGCAGCCTAATTTTTATCTCTTTCTTGGTAGGATCACCTCTATCTAGCCAACCAGTTTTAATTACTGTACAACGGCAGCTACCACAAACTATTAAACCCGTCACCTACACTGTTGCAACTCCTGTGACAACATCAACATCCCAGCAGCCTGTGGTTCAGACAGTGCATGTTGTCCACCAGATACCAGCTGTGTCTGTCACCAATGTGACTGGATTAGCACCAGCAAACACTTACACTGTAGCTGGACAGGCAGTAGTCACGCAAGCCGCGATGGTAACCCAGCCCAAGGTAGAACCTCAAGAGAATGGAGACCACAAGGAAGTAAAAGGTGAGAACCTGTGGGGTTAGTTGTTTTGCTGGCTCTTTATGCAGAAGGATTATTGTTTGAAACTTAATTCCGGATGAATGCTTGAAATGTTCAGCTAAAACTGAACATTTTGCATCATAATTTCTCAGAGATGTTTGAGCTATTAATAAAGCTATACTTTTTTACTGAGGGTAGATTGAGTAAAAACAAATGGTTCCTTAAAACTTTCTTGTTTTTAATGATGTTTTATCTTCTGTTTTTCAGTTAAAGTGGAGCCTATACCTGCTATTAGTCATGCTACACTAGGAGCTGCTAGCCGTATCATTCAGACATCTCAGACCACACCCTTACAGACAGTTACTATAGTGCAACAGGCACCTCTAGGTCAACACCAGCTACCAATAAAAACTGTAACGCAGAACGGAACGCACATAGTACCTATCACCACTGCGATACAAGGACAGGGCAACACTGGTACGTATTGGTCAAGGTGTTCAGTTGCTTTGTGCGTGTTAAAGCCTCAAAGTGACCAGTGCCAAAGTTCTGAATTCTGTTCTCATGTCTTTCATAGTTATACTGAAAACTACTAAGTTCTACAAAAAATTTAGATTACAGCCTTGTATGGGATTTTTCCCTTCCTGTTGGTAAGAACCAGTGTTTCTCTTAATTGATGATTACCTGAACAGCTCTTTATTCTCGTTGTGGACGTTATTGGGCTGTACTTAGTGGTGACAACCCATCCTCCCTCCTCGTTAAACCCAGGATATAAACAAGTTTTAAAAGAAGTTCCTGTAAAACAGTGCCATTAGAATGGTAACTGCTCCCCAGATGATTTGTCAAGAACCAACCGACAGGAAAACAAGATAGAACTTGCTTGGGGCTTGGCTTTTTGAACTGCTACTTTTTATTCTGTTTTTATTGAACCGGTACTAAAAATGACAAAACTTCTGTAAGATTTTTGAGGTTCTTCCTGCCTGAATACCATCTTTCCCCTCTCGGACCCAGCAGTCTGAGTTGGTAGCAGTACTTTTTAATAATTTTCGTATATTCACACTTGTTCACAGAACGTTCAGTTTTGGTTTGCTTTGCAGGTGCACACAGCTTGTTTTAACAGTTTCACTTTGAGATGTTATCTGATACTGAGGTAGCTTTTTTGTCATAAAATACGTTTATGGAAATAGTTTTAGGCTATCTTATATCAATTTATTACATGCATTTCTGCTCTAAACGTCTTCCTAATGGAGTGAATTACCTGCTTTGTTTCCTTTCTACTCTTCTTCCATCACTGACTTTTATAGGTCAGTGTTCTGTCTGCTTCCACTTCATTTCCAGCTTAAGTAAAGCAAAAGCAATCACTGTCAGACTTCATATGCACTTTTTTTGTCAGAAGGGAGCTATGAATTGAGCTGAGAGTCGTATGAAATATACCGAAAAGTTATTTTTAAAAGAAGAAATAATTCTTTTTGTCTTTTTCCTAGACTCTGTGAGAACTCAACTGATTTCAACGTGTTTTCCTTGGTAGGGAAGCCTAATGGCTGCTAGGCATTTTTAGGAAATGTGGCTGAACGTAGGAGAATTGTGGTGCTTCTCACTATTTCACTGTGTGTGATAGGGGTACGCTTGCAGTGATGGGATTTTCACTCTGAGATTCCTGGGCTAAAATACCTAATGAGATGTTCACGTTTTGAACAGCAAGTCAGCTGTATTCCAGGTCCTGGTCTCTCTGGTACAGTAACTCCTAAACCAGCAAGAAACCAGGTCGTTCTCAGACAAAGCATCTGAAAGGGGAACGAGGCCTGCAGAAATATAGATTTGTTTGTACATGTCTACAACTATGTCTGTGTTCCCCCGTGTACACCTTCATGCATCTGTGTTCACATGCATACATCTGTATCTACACACACACACGTGTGTGCTTGTCTTTGGAGAAAGAAGATTTGTGTAATCTGAAAGCTAAGTAATGCAAAGCAACTACTGTTGTTCTAACGTTTTCTCTTTGTAGTGAGAATGTGCTTTCAGATCTTACTCTCAGCAAAGCAGTTTGGCAGCGCTTTTTACTACCTTTCAGTCTAACTGAAAGCTGTGAAGTCCAAAATAAATTCAGGTCTCTTATTGCAGAATAAAATTATGTAACTGGATGCTCTGTAGTTTGACTTTCGGTGTAGATTTCAATCATTGTTCTGTGTGTTTCATATTTCCATGTATCAGTTGTGGCTGCAGCCAGCAAGTCTCTACTAACCAGACCCTGGAGTGAGCAATGCACTAATAGTCTTAATGCATGTTTGAAGATGAGGGGTAAACTTCTTGTTTTTATTTAGGCAACAATAGATTTGCAGTAAGGCATTTTATTCAGAAGTAGCTATCTCTATGGCGTCTTTCGGAATTGTACAGAGTAGCTTTCCTAATAGGGGGTGAATGGCTCTTCAGGTACAGAAACAAATCATGCTGCAGTGCAGTGAAGCTTTTTGTATCAGATAAATATTTTCTGAAGTATTTCTTCTATCAGTAAATACTAAGTATGGAACAGTTTGGTTACGTGCAGAGGTGATATTCCAGGTATTTTCTAGGTTAGCTTACAAGTTTAGCCAATAAGACTTCCTTATGGACTTCATGTTTAAGGTCCACTAGCAGGGAATGCTGTAATAATGTCAGCAAAGCAGTGATGATGAGGAAAGGCAGCTTGTGTTTTTAAAAAAAAAAAAAAAAAAAGCAGGTGGTTTGATAACGTTTAGATAAATTTTCATGAAGTGCAATGAACAAGTAAATATATAATTAGTATTTTGTGTTATTTACAAAAAGCACTTGAGTGGTTGGTTTGAATAAAGTCTGGGTTGATACTGAGAAACCAGCCTGCTAACAATTCTCCCATGGAATGAGAAAGATTAAAAACTTGTATAGGATGTTTGAACTGTATACATTTCTGTTGATCTGTGCACTTGAATCTAATTAAATATGTCATTTCTTAATGCTGCTGCTCGTTAAAGCACTGCCTTTTCCTTGCATTGTGGGTAAATGCCTCCTTATCTGTCAAAGAGGAATTGCTGCTTGAGTTGTCTGCATCTCACGGCTGTGTGAACTCCACAGTTTTTCTTAAAGAACTTATGGCCACAGACAAGTACGTCATGGTGGTGCTCTCCTTCCAGGCCAGGTAATGCGTTCTGCAGTGATCTGCAGGCATGGCCAGAACCTTCTGAAAGGGGATTCTGAATTCGCTTCCCAGTTCTGTTACAAATTACGGTGCAGATTGGCTTTCAGTTGTTTAATCTTTCTCCGTCTTCAGCTCTCTACTGACAAAATGGAGATATTTCCCCATTCTCCCATCTTTGTCCAAATCTGAATCAATGTTGAGTGATTTGGGAAAATGTCTTTCAGATTGGTATAAAGATTAAACAGTTGGACCTGAATCTCAGTTGGGACCGCTAATACCCCATGTAGTACAAATACAGGAATTAATCATTTTAATGAAAGCGCAGGTTTGCTTTCTGTATCATCTGTTTTGACCAAGGTCAGGGTGCTGAAGTTTTTATTATCTTTTTACAGCTGCTGCGAGTCCTTTGCATATGTTAGCAACCCATGCATCCGCATCGGCATCTCTTCCAACAAAGCGCCAGAACGGAGACCAGTCAGAACAGCAGGAACTCAAACGTATCAAAACGGAAGATGGAGAGAGCATAGTCATAGCTGTTAACGTGGACACCCCATCTGTGGCAGTGAGTGATAAAGGCAGCCAGAACTAGAAACTTTGGGGAGTTTTCTTTTTTTTTTTTTTTTTTTTTTTAAAAAAAATAAACTCCATGGTGCCAAAAGGAGACACTTAAATATAACACCTAAAATGTTGGAACATGTTCTCACGCAGTGGGGAAAGGGGCCCTGTGATCAGACTTCAACTTTCAGCACTGAAAAAAACCCAACACAGGTGGCCTTAAAACTTGGTAATTTAAAGTCAAACTGCAAAACATCTTGTTCCAGAGGCTGTGACCCCCGCTCCTCCCTGCCCCTACTGAACTGTGTACACTGAGAAATACAGTGTTGGGGAGGACTGCAGCTTTAAAAAAATCTTTATCAGATTATTTTAAGGACTGAGTATCTCAGTGTAACGGCAGCATGATAAGCGCTTAGTGTGAACTGGTTTCAAACGATTGTATATTCCTTAAAGGGAACAGAGGCAAGGAGCCATTTCCTACATCTTGGCAGCTAGCCTTTCATAATGACCTACCCGATGCAGTTGTTGGTAGATATGCAGTATTTTGTTGTTCACATGTGGAATTAGAAATTTTTGAGGTGTATTTTCATTTCTTTGCAAAATAATGGGGTCTTTGACATTTCAAATCACTCCATTTCTACTCCGGAAACTTTGGAATCACACAATACTTTTCATGTGAAATTTTGTTTGGTAAAAAACTGAATGTAGGGTTTTTTTAACCAATGGAATGATTTACTTTTGTCTGTCCTGTTAAAGTTCAGATAAAGCTACTTTATTACATCTGCAAATTTTCATATTTTAGCAGTTGCCTGATAAATTTAATCAAATTTTATTACCATGTGTAGTGATCAAATGCTTCTTTGGGCTTGCATGTAACTGATTAGAAATTACAATGTAAATGAGCCGTTAACTGACGTAAAGAACTGCTATGAATTTGACCAGAGCTGCACTTATCTGTTTCTCTTTCTGCTACCTTTTGCTGTTTGTTACTTTGTGTTGACTTTGACTGTCCCTGGCATATTTTTCCAGTCTAAAGTAAAACAAGAGTCTCGCTTAATATTGTGTATGTTTAAGATAACAGACTGTTCTTCATTTAGAAAGATAAAATTCTTTATCACAAGTCCTTTTAAAAAAGAGAGTAAAATTATCTTGTCAGAGGTATATTCGATATTTTTAAGCTTAAGCACCCATCAGTAGAAATTAATCTGACCAGTTTCTCCATAACACTTTTGATGTCATACACGGACCTTTTGGGGTCTCCATTAAGAGTAGCTGTTGTGGTTTTCTAACAGTGGCTACCATATTATTATAATAATTTTTTTTTTAAGTGTGTGTTCTGCAGTTGAACATTTTAAAATGTATTGGTAATTTCTCACTTTAATTGTGGTAATAGATTCCATTTTACATTTCAAAATTAAATTTAAACGTAAGGCTGCTGTTCAGTCTTGAATTCACATAACGTCTTATTTCCTCATGCAGTAAGGTGAGTGAAAGCTAGATAGTTGGCTTCATTTGAATCTGAATTTTGTCATTTTCTGTAATAATGATGCATTATTTATATTTCCTTTTCCACTACGAAAGGAAAAACTGTATTTTCATGATGTACTGAACAGTTTGGAGTGGTTTATTTAGGCAGCTTTTGGGAACTATTTACCTAAAGACCAAATATGAGAAATCTGTACAAGTTTTGTGTTCATCCACAAAATGGAACTGTTACAATGTCTCTGCAGATAATACATATTAAAAAACTATGAAAAAAAAAAAAAAACTCTACACAAGCTGGATTTATAACAGGCATTTAAAAAAAGCATAACCTGAAAAGGAACATTTCTGTAAAATTGCAACGTTTTCTTTAGAGGTTTTAAAAATAAAAAAGTAAAGTTTTAACATACTTTTTTTAAGAAAAAAAAATCCAGGAATAGTAATTTAATTTGGTGTTGAATGAATTGACTAGAATGTGGTTTATTTTCAGAAGTGAGAATCTGTTCACAACTAGGGCTAGGTGAATAATAGTGTATAAGATTTTTTAAATAAAATTAAATTTTATTCAGCAAATTAACTAAGTTGAAATTACTCAACAAGTGTGTTTGAAATACTTATCTGTATTTTGGGGTGATTAATCCAATTTATGTTGGCAGTGCCAAGGGAAGCGGTATCAGACCAAACAAGCCAAGGTGATCCTTGCTATCAGCGGATGGTAGGCGAGCTGCACGGGACGTCCTCCGGGGTAGAGGGGGAGACGAGAATGTGGTCTGGGTCCTGGTTCTGTAACGTGGTGGTGGTCTACGCTTTTTGGTGCATGTGGAATTTGGCGGAAGAACACACCTTCGCTCAGGGGGATAAATAAACCCTGTGAAAAAGCTGTGCGACGTGAGAAAACTGCTTACGTTCTTAACGCAAACATAACATAGGCTTATCTGTGCTTTTGGTGATGCTGAAGAAGGCTCATTCGGGATAATCTCCGGTGCTTTTGACTAATGCAGACTTCTCTGTCTTACGTGTCAGGCCTTACTGAATTGAGTCATTGGGTTCTTGAAACAGAACTGTTCCCTGGTTTGCCCCTGTATTTATGTGCCTCCCCCTGCTCATGCAGTGATGGTTACTGTGTAACAGCAAAGCCTGAACGAGACTCCTGTCACGCTGCTGCTTCTGAGGTGATGCTCGTGACCTTTCTTAAATTGGTCTTACGTGCTGATCATCCTGGACCCCCACAGTCAATACGATCTTTCTTTTGCAAATGGAAAATGTGTTCCGGTGATTCACGTACGTAGAGATTTGACCTCAGTTTAGGAACCGATGTACCCTTTCCGGTTACCTTCTGTGTTTCATGATGCATGGTATTGTTTCCTTTTGTGCTCCTTCTCGGCTGCCTGCTCAGTGTTCTGTTAAGAGCTAGCTTTTGTGTGATCTCTAAAATGATTTTGAAAAAGACACAGGATTCTAACATACGGAAGACCTAAGCGTGCGTTTGCTTCTGGTGACAGAAGCGTTCATCTCCACTGCCAGCGCGTTCTGTCCTCCTTGGATCAGATCCCTCCCCCTCTCCTTGTGCCAGCTTTGGTTTTGACCCAGCCACGTGCGGCAGCGGCCCCGTGTCCCAGCAGGTTCGGGAGGGCGGTGGCACGGGGACAGCCTTGCCTTTGGAGACGCGCGTTGGGCCCTCGCGCTGGCCGTTCGGCCGGCAGCCC